CTTGCAGTGAGATACTGTAAATAAACATTGGTGTTTACTGTATTTAATAACATTTATGACTGTTATCTCCTTACATATAAGAAAAAAATGCTAATATTATATACTATGAGTAACTGTCATGTTACTTCACTGGCCTAACTGCGTCTTGGCTGGCTGTTGTGGGGAAAAATGTCTGGGGAACATTCAGATGGACTTACGTGCACTGCGTCTATATGCACTTTGATTTATCAGGGAAACTTTATTAATGTTTTGTAAATGTTTAATATATGACACTTGTATGTGCCATGCCAGTTTTTACATCATCATGGAAATCCTGTATTTTATTTAACCAATGACCTATTTATTTATTTATTTATTTACCTGTTCATCTGAATTACCAATGGATCAATTGTTCTCAAAGTAATGAAATGTTTAACCAAAGTTACTGTGAACCTGTACCTTTCAATACAGTTGATTATTTATTTTTCTGAAGAAGACAACTCTATCTGTATGTTTAAATGGGGGTGGGAGTGCATTTCATAGTTTCAGTTTCTGTCATGATCAACTGCAAAATTAGGAATAAAAAACGTGTTATAAAAATGGAGAGAAAAAAAATCGAATGGCTTTTTCCTGCCTGTGTTGTCGCTCTGCTTTCTGTCTGTTTCTCTTTCACCATCTGTGGTAGACTTGCAGGTTATTTTGCAGAGCTGTTTTATTATTGTTTCAGTTTTGCTACAATAATAAGGATTACTGTAATCCTTATTTACCCTGTGAATCAGGGTAAAGCAAAAACACTGATGTTTGCCATGTATTCACATAATAATGGGTTTTTGTTGTGCAATGAACAATTTGTTTTAAATGTTAACACATTTTCTGTTAAACTTGTGTAAAACAGTTGTTTTTGCAATTTTGTGAAGGTCTCCTAAGCTGTCATTAATTTGTTTTTAATTTTTTTTGTATATATCTGCATCATATTGATATATGCAGATATATACCCTACTCTCAGCTGTTAGCCACTGAAAATCCCTTTGACAATCACCAATTTTTGGAGGATCTTGCAAAATGTTTTAGCTAAAGATTATATAAATAAATATAATCCATATTCAGAAGGACACAAATAACCACATTTATAGTCCATAAATAACCACATTCACAAGGAAGATTATTATTATTAATTATTATTATTATTAAAAGAAAACAGCATGTTAACCAACTCATCCTAACATGTTTACTCCTCTAGTATGCATCTATATGCCTGTCTTTGCAGACTTGCTTAATGGTCAGTTCATAACTCTGTTTCTTCCTTTGCTTCAACTAATGCTTCTCTTTAATTTATATATTTTTCCATTTCTGCTTATTTCTTACTCAAACTTGTGAAAAGCATGAAAGGCTTAGAAGACACGTTTCTAGTTAGCTGTACATATCCTCATTAAACTCCTCTTCATAGATTGTAAAAAATGGTAATGTGATTGTTACCTTAAGAAGCTTTTTCTACTTGATCTGACCTTTAAATTTAGTTTTGATCACGTAAACAAATGTATTTAGCTTGTTGCGGTGATGTTAAATCATATATTTCATTTCAATGTTCATACATATGTCTTATCAGGTCCCTCTCTTGTGTTGCAGAACGTTGTCATGGTGACCGTTCTGCATTCTGTGGCATGGAGGTGCTGCAGCAGTATTGCTCTCTGCCGGGCTTCCAGCGCATGTGCTGCAAGTCCTGCAAGGTTGGCAATATCACAAAGACCACTGTGGCCACAAGTAAGCCACCATCCAAAACGAAAATCACCACCAACGGACGATCCACCACAACCCAAAGTCCCACACGCACAGAGTCCACCACCGTGTGGACCTCCACAGCAGCCTTTTTGCCGACCACAGAAGGGAAAAGGGCCACATCTGTGAGCACACCTTGGTTATATACCATTTTAGCAATGTCACCCTTTTATCCATATACTGCAACTCCTATCTATAAGCCAGCTACTCCAGAACAGAGCACATCCTTTGCCATTACTACACCAAGTAGGATCACATCTGCTCCTGCGGACGTGACTGAATTACCTGTTAGCACTGTTTCTGCAGCAACAAGGATCACATCTGCACTTGCAGATGTGGAAAACAACACCAAATTACCTGTTAGCACTGTTTCTGCAGCAACAAGGATCACATCTGCACTTGCAGATGTGGCAAACGGCACCGAATTACCTGTTAGCACTGTTTCTGCAGCAACAAGGACCACATCTGCACCTGGAAATGACGTGACCGAATTACCTGTTAGCACTGTTTCTGCAGCAACAAGGACCACATCTGCACCTGGAAATGACGTGACCGAATTATCTGTTAGCACTGTTTCTGCAGCTACAAGGATCACATCTGCACCTGGAAATGACGTGACCGAATTACCTGTTAGCACTGTTTCTGCAGCTACAAGGATCACATCTGCACCTACAGATGTGGCAAACAGCACCGAATTACCTGTTAGCACTGTTTCTGCAGCAACAAGGATCACATCTGCACCTGCAGATGATGTGGCAAACAGCACCGAATTACCTGTTAGCACTGTTTTCCCAGTAATTTTCAGTGATCTGAATAATGGCATCACCGTCCAGTTTAAAGAGTTTGATGGGAGTAGTGGTGCACCAGATGTAGACAGCAGTGCGATATTGCAGTCAACAACAGTGAATGGTGTGAATGAAAGGGAATTGACAACCTCAGTCAATATGGATGTCAGCATCCCAGTGACATCTATATCAGAGGTGCTAACAACCACTGAAGAACCTGCTCCCCTGGTACCAACTTCTGTATCTACAACTTCCAGTACACCACTGTCCAGTACAACAGCATCTGGCACAGAGAAGACAAGTGGATGGCCAAATAAAGTGGAAGAAGTGAGTGAGAGCAACGTTATTGATATACCATATCAAATAATCCCATTGGACAATGAGTTTCCTGTGAATAACATCATCCCCAGGAGAGGACGTGTGTTTCTGCGTGAGAAAACACGGAATAAGCGCATCCAGGAACTGCTTGAGGAGAAGCGAAACTTTTTGAGACGGATGAAAAGAGCACAGGGGATTTGAACCCTGTCCAGTTTCTCTTATAGAGATACAGCTGCCAAATGCAACTTCTGAATCTAGACTTTATTTTGGTGCTTGGGTCAAGAACTGGAAAATGGCCAAAATATTGCTGTGAACTGATGCTTTGCCCTCTTTTAATGACATGGCAAACTGATCTTTGTGGAGCAAAACCACTAGCAAGTGTTTGCATAGTTGCTTTGAACCTCAACAATGTCCCTTTAGGAGGTTTCACTGGAAATTCTAATTCAAAGTGATTTATCATTTTAAAGGATTAGTTCAGCCAAAAATGGAAATTCTGTCATCATTTATTCAAGCTCATGTCTTTCCAAACTTGTACGAGTTTCTTCCTGCCATGGAACACAAAAACAGAGATTTAGCCATTTTTTTTTTCATTTTCCGTTTTACGTAAGTGAATGGTAGTGAGGAGCTATGAAGCTCCAAAGATGACAATATAGCATCATACAAATCATCTTCCAAAGTCTTCTGAAGCCATGTGGTATTGTGCCAAAAAACAAGTTGTTTTTCACAGACAGCATCAAAAATAAATCATAAATCTTTAATATCATTCACATTCCAAGAAATTCAAACATGGTTCATTAAGATTTTAATGGTACTTTTATGGTTCTGTTTTATCTATTTGGGAAGCTTGACTGCTTCTTGTCCTCATCCCCTTTCATTGAATGGAAAAAAGCATCATGAAAAGTAAAAGGAAGTCAACAAGAGGGTGAGTGAATGATGATAGAAATTTCACATTTGGGTGATCTAAAAATCCTAGAAAGAGAGGCAAATATGCTCAATGACAGATACAGATGATAGGCACATGCTGTATTATGGGTAAATTAGCACAAAAAATATCAGTTGGCACCAGCCTGAAATGTACGTTGGCTACAGTGTGTTTCAGCTGCACATTTTATCATAAAAATGTCTAATAATTTTACAGAGTTAAAAATGTGGAACCTGTGATGGTGATGTGAATATAGTAAAAAATGAGCCCAGAGTTAAGTGTGAACATAGCCAGACATGACATGCAGAAAACATTGATATTCTTACATGTACCTATATCACAGTCACACTAATGAATCATTTGATAAGAACAATTCAGGGATGCACCGTATTACATACATGCAGATGTTAATTTTGTGCTTGTGAATTATATTTCTTTTCACCAGTATGCAAGCTTGTGCTGAAACTTTATCAGATCGGGTCAAGATGATATCTATTTTTATTTGTAAGGTTTTGACTTCTTATAAGAATACGTTACACCCCTACCCAAAGATGTCAAAGACTCCATCATTATGTAAAAAAGCAGAAGAAAATGTCAAAAACAGAAATAAATTGTATATGTCGCAAAAAAATGTTTCACAGTTTTACATTCCTCTTATACATTTTCTTTTGCTTTTACAGACCTTTTAATATTTAAATGCTAACGCTATATATATATACCAATTAATTATTGTTCTTTGCATAGTTAATTTTTAAAAAGTTGAATATGGAACTGGCATGTTGAATAATTCTGCTCTTTGGACAAACCTTTACAACTGTTTAAGTAAATTACCCATACAAATTCTTTAAAAAAAGACTTGGAAAAAAATGCTCGCACTCTTCTCATTATTTTACATCTTGGCCTGAAGGCTTCTCACAGAAAGAACTGGGCCAATTAGAACAGAAGGAATTAGAGCTGTACCTCTGCTGGAGCTCCTCACCTCACTTCATCCTCTTCATTAGCTTTCATCCTCACTGCAGGTGAAAGTGTGGATGGACCAGTCACCATAAGTCTCACATCCCTTCCTTACAGACTCAGCGGCTAATAACAGAGGAACAGAACCCATATTAAAGAAGAATCACAAATAAAATCTCACTTGTTTGCCCTTGGTTACGACAAGAGATGAAGATCATCTGAACATTTTTGCTTACTGAGAAAAATACACCATTAACATCACCAGTGTTTGTCAGAGAGTTACAGAAGAACTCAAAACTTTGCCAAGGTAGGTCTACCAACATCTACAAAATTCATATATTTCAGGATGAATATTTCTCATTTAATTCTAAGCTATTCTAGCTATAGATATATTCTTCGTATATGTCTATAATTGTCTCACTTGTGTCTGTTTTATATCTTTTTAGGAATTATAGAAGAAATATTGATGAAACTCCTGACCTATGAAAATCAAAGTTGATGAAACTGAGCTATTTATTCACCCCCGGAGCCATGTGAGTCACTTTTTATTATGGATGGATGTGCTTTATTGGACTTCTTTTGAACTGTTGAAAAATAACACCCATTCACTGCCATTATAAAGGTTGGAAGAGCCAGGACAATTTTTTAATATAACTCCAATTGGATTCGTCTGAAAGAAGAAATTCATACAGTATACACCTAGGATGCCTTGAGGGTGAGTAAATCATGGGGTAATTTTCATTTGTGCCTTTTTAGCCGCCTGTGACATCATTGGTCCAGCAGATGGCAATATTTAACAATACAGCAAAGATCAACAGCCTCTGTCTCTGTACAGGTGTTACACAAGCAGGTGTGATGGATAAGGAATATATTGCTCTCACAAGTGTCCTGTCACTATTTAAATCGTATTTTTAGAACTACACAAACTGCTGTTAATAAATGTCCTCTCAGTTTGTATTCAGCGTTGAATTCTTGACAGTGTTTTTCTGCTAACATATTGACCCACATTCTGGTATAAGACTTTTGGGTAGGACTGGAAACAAGGGCAACATTTAATGAGACTTATCGAATAAATTCATTGAATAGAATCACAATCTTGCATTGTATGACAAATAATTAAGGTTTTGAAAGTTATGTAAGATTAATAAGGTGTACGTGAGGAACAGTTTTAAGCACCACTGTATTCAAAATTTGATCTCAGGGAAAATGCATCTTTTTACCCTTGAAATAAATTTCCTGTTTCTTTCAAAGACATTTTATACTGTAGCATTATGGAAGTGAGTTTAAAAGGAAATACTCTCTTAAAACACGAGGCAGCAAGGGGAAAGGAAATAAACTACACAAAGGGAAGGAATGGAAAACATTTTTAAAAATGGAACAAAAGAAACTAAATGAAAAGAAAGAAGATACAAATCATGACCTAGTTTGAACCTGAGAAACAAAATGCTTTTCTTGAACAAGTTTAGTAAAGATGAAGATGTCTGGGGCATTTTTATTATTAAAAAAGATGTTTTAGTTATTACAAGCTAAAATGAAAACAAGAGGATTAATTGGATCTCACACCCGGAAGCATAAATCCGTGGCTGTTTTCAGACACTGAATTTATAATTGACCAGATTAGACATTTTGGCTGATGAATATACTGTAGGATTACAGGCGCTCTCGCTGTCCAGAGGCCAAAAGAAGCGTAACTGTTTGTGACTAATTGTGTTTGTTCATAAATCAGGACAGCCGTCTGTATAACAAACACCCCCTGCCATGAGTGTGTGTGTGGTGTACAAAGGTGGGCTGTTTCTGTGGCAGATTCTATTGCCTGGATATGTGAGGAAAAGCTCCCCACAATCCATGGATATGTTTGTATCTTCATTCAGGCCTGATTTTCTGGTTCCTCCATGGGAGCATGGCATGAAATTGGGAGCAGGATTCCATTAAAATCGCTGTGTTCAGTTCTCTCGCCCACAACATTCCCCTTTAAGGAGGCTTGCTCTGTCATTGCCTTCATATTCAATATGTCAAGCACATGAAAAATATTGAAAAAGCATATTTTGCTGATTATTTGTAATATATCATAAGCTGACCTTTAGTCCAAGAGCCACGAAGGCACCGCAAGAGTCAACAAAAGTACCTGTCACATGCTAAGATCTGTTCAATAAATCCCACTTAAAAATTTTGGCTGCAAATTAATTAATGTCTTTAGCACAAGGTCATAATGATAATTGCTGAAACAACTTCAAACTTCTGGTCACAGTCTAAAAGTCTTAAGAGTTTTCTTAAGGGCAGTGTTTAGGAGGTCAAGAACAACTCATTCAGTTCCTGTTCTTGTGAAACGCTGCGGTGAGAATGGCCAAGGGCGTTCTGTCATCAGCTTTAATGGTCTCAGACTAAGAAAAGACAAAGTAAATTGGATCTCGCTGTTAGCAATAATGACCACAGTTCTGGCTTGATGCTGTAAATGAATAACATGTCTATATGCAACCATCTGGTAAGTATTGACCATTATTATTATTTATTTATTTTTTCAGGTTGAATTTTACCCCCAGAAACTATTAGTAAAATTGACTCTACATTATATGGTGTTTTTTTAATGGATTTTTTATATTTATTAAAAAAAGTAATATTTTTTTGTATTTTATGTCAGCATCAAAAGTCACACCTGAGAATACATTGAGAATACAGTGATTTATACACACCTGGAATGTGTGTCTTTTAGGCAGCAACGTCTGTTTCCTGCAATGATCAGTGGGGCCAATCAGCTGCCAGCTTGATGAATAAGAGGTGCTATAGCTGCCAGAATTCATATTTAGATACTGATTAAATCTAATAAAGTGAAACTGAAGGTGAAGACAGATTTTCTGCTCATGCAAAAACTAAATGTCTCTTATGTTTTGGTCCTGCAGCTGTGCACATCATTCTCGTATTCATAAACGTAGGAATACAGATAAACAAATATCATATCACATTCACAATACTCCAGCTCGTTGACATTTAGCAAGCCCCTCAGTTGTCCTTTCCACATGCCCAGAAGCTCTTACCAACACACATAAAGTCGACAATCTTTTTGGCTCGCAATAAATTTAAATGCCCCTATGAGACGATGTACTTCAATTGAAAAAGCAAATTAAATGTCATATAATTTAAGTATATGATTCAATAAACATTTATGTTTCAGTGTGTCTCAGTTGCATAGAATGACATATTGAGAATACAGTGATTTATACACACCTGGAATGTGTGTCTTTTAGGCAGCAACGTCTGTTTCCTGCAATGATCAGTGGGGCCAATCAGCTGCCAGCTTGATGAATAAGAGGTGCTATAGCTGCCAGAATTCATATTTAGATACTGATTAAATCTAATAAAGTGAAACTGAAGGTGAAGACAGATTTTCTGCTCATGCAAAAACTAAATGTCTCTTATTTTTTGGTCCTGCAGCTGTGCACATCATTCTCGTATTCATAAACGTAGGAATACAGATAAACAAATATCATATCACATTCACAATACTCCAGCTCGTTGACATTTAGCAAGCCCCTCAGTTGTCCTTTCCACATGCCCAGAAGCTCTTACCAACACACATAAAGTCGACAATCTTTTTGGCTCGCAATAAATTTAAATGCACCTATGAGATGTT